CTAGGGCGCTGATACCCTGATTGCAGAAAATCTTTTGGCTATTATGAAACGCGATCCACGTCCGCTCAGCTGACTGGCTCGTTCCTACGAACAATACCGAACCGTCACTACCGCAGACAAGGAACCCTTTCCCCCAGGCGTTCACTCCAATTTTGAGCCGGACGATGTTGAACAAGTCGGTTCAACGTAGCACCGCAGGACCAACTCTCCTAACCGCGCGCCGCCGCCCGCTTTCCGCTGCCCTTGCATACATAGTAGAGCTCAGCCGGGCTCTAGTCTCCAGGCAATGCTAGGCTAACAAATGACGATGCACCTTTTGGTTAGACGGAAGTAGTGCAAGCCCTGCAAGCGTGCAGATTCGCCTGGTTACAGCATACTCCGTACATGGCATAATACCACAGATACCTATATATAAGCCGACCTATGTAAATGCCGGTGGTGGCTACATCCGTCTGGACCAAAATACCTACAGATACGTATTTTCCACAACAAATACTCGCTTGCGGGGCCTTTCTTCTACAGACTGCCCGTACGCAGACATGGTACACCTCGTGACGTCCAAAAGCACTGGGCTCTCTTAACAGAGTATGACTCCCGAGACCAGGGCAAGTTTGAGAGGCCGACGAACCCGCCCAGCCCCATTGTGCCTTGACACTTGAAGAATTTCCACCGCAAGGTAACGGGAGCTGGTGGACCCCCACGACCACCAATCGTCTCACCAGCCCCCCCTGGGGTGCCTTAGCGTCCACGGTCTCCCACGGTCTTGCGCCCCCCTTCAGTGGCTTGAGCGTCAAGGAGCCCTGGACTCTGGGGCTGTACACTACGGTAGCCAGCATGGCAGCGTCATCGAGCGACAAGTTGACGACGGCAAAATCTCCAAAGAGGGCAAAGCCACAAAGCAACCGTTTAAAGACGGCGCCCGTGTTCGGCAGATCCTGTGGGACGTGCACCGTCGTCCCAATTTTCCCCACTACTCTACGAGCCCAGACCTGAAAGTCATCAGCCAATCAGTACGTGCTTTTCCGACCGTTCAGGCTGCGGTACGTACCTGAGGTAACTTACCCGGTACCGTTAGGTTCTTACCTGAGCAAGGTTGGGTCCCCCGATCACTCTGTTAAACCTCCAAGGGCATTAGTTACCTGATACACTGGACCAACCAAAGACGCGTTGAGCTGTCGCGCCTGTCGACCACCCACAACGATCACAGAGCCCGAGTCTGATCCTCGATCTCGCCTCCGCAATCTCACTGTTGGCATTCCTCCCACACATGACTTGCATAATCAATTGAGATGACACCTTCTAGCGCGTGAGGTCAGGTCGCGCAATTCTGACTAGTGATCATTTTGAGTGGCTTTCTCATATCCCTATTCACCTTAGTCGTGGGGTTCACATGAGGACAGTAACCCAACCACATGTCTACTTCCCTGTCAGTGTTGACATGAAATTCGGCCACGATTATGGCGCCCAAGCGGAAGTTCCTGGCACTTGAGGATCCAAAGGATGAGCGTTCTGGGGACAAGAAGTCAAAGTTGGTTCAGATCAAAGGCCAGGTCAGGCATACGCTTCTACAACAGCACTATGATGTTGTGCAGACACTCCGCGAATATCTGCTTTCCAAGCTGCCAGGGTCTTCGAGACTTCGCCGCAAGAAGATTGCATCATTGGGAAAAGATGGCGCACCGCGGGCACGCATCGAAGACCCCGATATAATCCCAGAGCTGTCCTCGTTGTTGGACACGACCTTGGTCTGCACGCAACAGCGCCCTGGAGCACGAGCCGACTCTCGATGGGAGCAGTGGATGTCCTTTTCTCAAAAGGCCGACGACTCTGTCGTATCTCTCTCGGGAGGTTTGGCCCGAGCCATGTCCTCGCAGTCAGAGGTAGGCAATTTAGACGCGAGCAATCCGGCTTCAAGACTGACTGTCAAACACAGATTGTTGACTTTGTAGTGTGGCAAATATTCAATAGAAGTGCTGCTTGGCCGAAGCACCTGCTCTGTGATGGCTTCAGGAGGCAGGCCCAGAATATTGCCAATGCAAATGGCCACGGTCACAACAGCGGAATTCAGGGACTGGTCTCAGTCGACCCGAATCATTACGTGCAGGCCCTCAAAGAAGCCCCTTGGCCGCAAGCACTCATGCTGCTCGGGAAATCAGGTGAACAGATCATGATAGATCTTTTCATCGATACGTCGATTTTTCTTCCTGTGAGAGCCGGCCTCGGTAATATGTACCAACTCAGTGGTATTCCCATGTCAGAGACGGGTGTAGCTGCCAATCAGGACAACAAGAAGCAGACCAAAGGAGATACTACAGCGCCCACTACACTTCACGAGCGGCTCCCGTCTGAAATCAACTTCATCAGAAATCGAATGCTCTACGCTCGAGCTGCTCTTACCGCCAAGGGTACGGTTCAGTACGGACTGCGGCACATCCGTAAGTTGGCATTCAAACCAAACGCAGGGGCCTTCCACTGAAGTTAATCATCAGATGTCTTGAGTCGCTGTCCTCGTCTATCTTGTATAGAACAGGCAATGGAAGAAGATAAAACAAAAATGACAGCGGCGAACGAGCGCAATACGCTGAAAGTCATGATGTACATGTTCCCTCGACAGTTTGGCTTACACAATGCCTTTACCTCCAGAGTTGACCACTCCAAGACATCGCAAAAGTTTGCAGACTACACTCTCCGCGAAGAAGAGATCTCGACAACATTCAAGGGGCGAGATATCAAGTTTCCAAAGAGACTGCGTGGAGACGCAAAACGACTGGTGCAGAGGCTGCAACTTCTCCATGGTCGTTGTGCTTACGCCGAGATACTGCGGCATTACTGCCCCTCTGCCATTGATTTCAAAGCCCGGAAACCCGCCTCGAAGAAGCCAGTGAAGCTGTCCAAGAGAATTGATCCTACACAGGTGGCGGGAAGAGACAACAACCAAACAGTCGTGTCTTCTGGTCCCCCCAGGAATAGTATACAGAGCCGCTCTAAGCTTCATCAACCCGAGGCGCCTCCGCTGCTGCCGAAGTTTGATGCGATCACTGACTTGGCGACTCCCGCAGCTCATGTTTCCGCGTTCTGTCAGGCTGTATTGGCCAAGATCATTCCAGATGAGATGTGGGGCACTGGTGAGGCCGGGACTTACAACAAGCGTCAGATACTGAAGAAAGTTAATCACTTTGTCAAATTGCGGAGGTTCGAGGCCATGTCCCTGTGCGAGCTCGCAGACGGACTCAAGGTAAGGAAAATGATCTTGCCCTCGTAGAGTTTTATCTAATGCTCTTATCAAGATCACGAGTATGGAGTGGCTGGCGCCTCCAGCTCTCAAAGGCCAGAAAACCAGCTTGACTGACATGAAGAAACGACACGAAATCATGAACGAGTTTTTGTATTATATCTTCGATTCGCTGTTGGTACCCCTTTTGCGCAGCAACTTCTACATCACAGAGTCGAGCTCTCACCGCTACCGTCTCTTTTTCTTTCGACATGATGTCTGGCGGTACGTCGCAGAGCCAGCAATGACGACTCTCCGGACAAACATGTTTGAGGAAATCAAGCTTGACCGGGCTACCGCAATCCTCGATTCCAGACGACTGGGCTTCAGTCGTATCAGGCTTCTGCCCAAAGGAAAGGGCATGCGGCCGATCACGAATCTGCGAAGGAGAACAGAGATCAGGGGCAGGAGCTCCGTCCTCGGCCCAAGCATCAACTCTGTACTGGGTCCGGTGCATTCCATGCTCAAGCTCGAAACGGTGACCATCAGTCAATCTCTGTGTCATCGGCCTATTTGCTGACTATTTTTGCAGCAAAGAAACCCCTCCAGGCTTGGATCATCTATGTTCTCGGTGGGTGATCTATACCACCGCCTCAACGCCTTCAGTGCCAGATTTGGCAACCACCGCCCAGTGTTCTACTTCGCAAAGGTAGATGTGCAGTCGGCTTTCGACACGATTCCTCAAGAGGCCGTGATCAGGCTGATGGACGGCATTCCGAGTCAAGAACAATACATAATCAAGAAGCACGTCGAAGTTAAAGCCGGATTACTGGATTCTCGGCACCAGAAGAATGCGATATCAAAGGTAACGCGACGGTGGCATTCCATCGCCGTCACCCGCGACGACACGGCCGACTTTTCGCAGTTGGTAGAGAAGCGCCTCGGTACAAACCGCAAGAACACCGTCTTCGTGGGTAACACGATGAGGAAGGAGCTAGAGACGGAGGCCCTGATGGGCCTGATGGCGTCGCATATCAAGCAGAACCTCGTCAAGGTGGGCAAGAAGTTTTACAGGCAGAAGAAGGGCATTCCGCAGGGCTCTGTTTTGTCTTCCGCTCTGTGCAACTATTTTTACGCCGACCTTGAGGATCAGTATCTGTCCTTCCTGTCGGAAGAGGGGGAGGATGATGAGGGAGACTGTCTGCTCCTGAGGCTGATTGACGACTTCCTCCTCATCACGACGGACCAGGCGAAGGCGCGCAGGTTCGTGCGGGTCATGCACGGCGGGCTGCCAGAGTACGGCGTCGCTGTCAGCCTCAACAAGACCTTGGTCAACTTTGACATGGAATTTGACGGTACGAAAGTAGCCAGACTTCCAGAAGAGGGTAGGTTCCCTTACTGTGGACTGGGCATCGACTGTGATACCCTCGACATTGTCAAAGACCGAGGCCATGTCAAAGATACAGGTAAGCTTCTCCATGTCTCCATCGGAAAGAGGTAGGAAAGCGCTGCCGCGTTGTGAGCTAACCTTGCCATCAGTGGTTTCCAATGCGTTGACGGTGGATTACGGAAACAAGCCCGGCCAGAATTTCCAAAGAAGAGTCTTGAGTACGTGTTGCAACCTCACCCCCATAGCTCCCCTCAACATAGCTGCCCTCACTCGTGAAATTCGATTCAACCCTGTCTGCTAACCTTTGTGTCATCCGCTACCAGACGCCTTCAAGATCCAATCCCACCTCATGTTCTACGACACCAAACACAACACCCTCAAAACCGTCATGTCAAACCTCCACAAGGCCTTTGCCGAGACGACCGAGAAGATGTGGGCGTACTGGCGCTGTCTTCCCACCAGCAAACGACCTGGTGACGGGCTCGTCATGCGTACGTGTGTCCCTTGCGCCTTGCGGGAGACAAACCCTCCCGCTCATAAGCCCCACCATTGCTTAAAGCTGGGATTTTTCCTTCATCCCGACTAACGATATTTGCTTCTCGCTCCATAGAGACCTTGAGCAAAGTAATCGACGTAGCGTTTGGGCTGCTTACCAGCAAGTCTCGAAGGGAAAAGTACCCAGAGTACGACTGCGCCGTGGAGAAGACGCACGTTGCTTGGTATGTATTTCTTCCATCCCCAGGCCCCATACTGTAGACAACCCGCAGTTTTGGAAAGCATGTGCGCGCTAACTGAATGGTTCTTCCAAGGCTCGCTCTCGAAGCAGTGAGGACGGTCCTCGCGAGGAAACAGGCAAACTTTACGACGGTGTTGTCGTGGATTGATGCGGAGCTCGGGAGGCTCGACTCCAGGAAGACGGCCCGCGCGAGGAAGTACATACGAGGATGAACAAACAGAACATTACCACAGTACAAGATACAAAGTCGAAGAAAAGATTTGATGTTACCCTGTGCTTGTGTTTCCTCCGAGGCAAAATCCTCCTTGCCAATCACAAGGGGTCAGATGGGAACTCCCCGTGTCTGTCACTCCCTCAATGGCCCTCCTCTGTGCCACACAACAACCTATCCATATCGACACGTCGACGACCATTGGCGATGAAGTTCAGGCCAAAGTGCCTCTCGTGCCACCTGGAATCGCGCTGCTTGCCGGGCGGCAGTTGGACTTGGACTTTTTGTGCGATGCGAGAGTTGTTCATGTGAACCGAAGCACCAGAATTATCTCTTGAGGCGAAGCAACCCAAGCACCGCCTTAAAGACATTGATAGCAAGGCGTATTTCAAGAGTCAAGTTGATGTAATCAAATCTCACATAGATAATGATCAGCACTGCAGCCTTCTAGTAACTTGTTCTCGATCGTGCGAAGCCCTCCTGGCAGCTTGGGAAAGAAGTAAATAGGGGTAAGTCAAACGTAGCTACGACGATGGCCTTCGTAGCCATGAACGAACAAGAGTATTTCTTCCTAGAGAAACTCGCCGCAGCGTCCGAGTACCCAGACTCGCTTCTCTACCAAGACGAGCGACGGGCGACACTCAAGGCTCGCGTCGAGCACTATGTCGATAGGAGACATCAAGTATTTGACGAAGATTTGGGGAAACGGAAGGATAACCCGTTGGTCATCATCGATTGCGGCAAGGGTGACTTGCCAGTGGCAGACGGTTCCGACGACGAGGTTATCAGCGGGAAGAAGAGTGTAGAGAATGCTGACTTACTCGTCATACGCACCATCGAGGATCTACGAAACAAGCTGTCCTGGCCACATCCGAAGCAAGGCCCGTTCGATCCCGGACACCTCAAGAAGGACCCTCCACTACGAGTTATGTGAGTCTGCTCATCGAATCGCAATCAAGCGCAACAGCTAGAGGCACTAACCGCAGCAAAACCAGCCTGCTAGAGCGCATGTGGCCGACCTCGCTGCTGCTGAACCTCAGCGAAGACGTACTGCTACAGATCCTAACATACCATCAGGTCCCGGCTCACTTCCTGACGTTCATTACTAGCGGCGGCGAGTCTTGGAGCTTCGCCAGCGGTATGAGCTTCGTGGGCCTCAAAGGCTATACGAATACCCTCCTGGACCCCGGTCGACAGCCCACCAACTTGGCGGTACTGGGTCGTAGTGGAAGGCATATTCAGATTTGCCTCACCTTATTCAGCATCCGCGAGTATCCCTTGCACGCCTTACCCCGAGAAGGGGACCCCGCTAAAACGCCGCGCTGGGAGACGCACTCCGCGGTCGTGTACGTTCACTTTGATATTATCGAGGGCACGGCGTTGTGGTTGCTCGTTAGCCCCCGATCGTATCATCCGGAAAGAGGTCAAGGGACTCAGAACCTGCTTTGGAACAATTTGAAAGACGGCATGGCGGATGGTATGGACGGGCTTCGGTCACTCGACGTCCCCGAGCGATTCCGCATCAGTCTTGACAGTCTCCTCGCCGCTGCCGAGTGGTCCATCGGGATGTTTTCACATCACGTCCAGGACACGGAGAAGAGGCTTTACGACTTGGTGAGTCCGGTTTGCCACACGACATGAGAGGCGCAGCAGAAGTCGAAACCATGCTGAGATTCGATCCAGACCAAGCCGTACGTGTATCCGTATGACGACGAGGAGATGGTCGACGACAAGGCAAGCGAATCAATCCACGCCCAGGACCTCCGTAGAATGGCGTTCTTGATGGAAACTCGGCATGGCAGTGTCATGAAAGTTGAGAATAACCTTCGGGTCCTCCGCCGTCTCCGAGAGTTTTTCGTGGAAGAGGTAGCCGGTCACCTCGGCCCTCTGAGAGATTCCCACACCGATGACATCCGGACGCATATCAAAGGCTTTGCGGAGAAATTGACAACGGTGATCGCAGAGATCGAGGACTTGCTGGACAGAGCATCAGCACTGGATAAACTTGCGAGGAACAGAGAAGAATACGTACGTGGCGACTCAGAGCGTCGAATCAAGGGGAGCGAGCGCTAAACGGTACAGATTCAACGTTTACAAGCGCATCACTCGACTCAGCAGATGAAGACAATCGCGGTGCTGACGGCGGATGACTCGTCCGCGATGAAGCAATTATCCTTCATCGCCCTGATTTTGTTACCAGTCACGGTCGTATCAGTAAGCCAGCTTGTCTCCAGGAAACAATGTTGTTGGAAGAGAGAGAGAACCCGAATGCGCTTATCGGATGTTTTAACTAATGATATTTTATGCAGACCGTTCTCAGTACGGACATTGTCAAGTTTCAGGATCTTTCGAACGAAAACGAGAATACCACCCGAGGCACGGCCGAAGGTCCGGTTCCGATGTACAACTTTTCGGTGGCGGCCTTTAGTACATGGGCGGTCGCCAGCGTAGTTATGACAATCGGGACCTTGGTCATTGTCAAGCCAGTAGGGAAGCGTAGGAGGCGAGGCGACGGCAGTGTAGATTGTGGAACTAACGATTCCCCCATGGAGGGCACAAGGAGATGTCGACTGATGAGACGATTGTCTCATGCGTGGAACATTCGAGACAGGTTCGACTCAGCCATAGACTCTCCGTCCAGCAAGGCCAGGCCACTGAGCCCGGCGACATCGGCACTCGCGACTTCGATACACACGGCACCGACATTCGTCAAGACGGCATCAAATTCGCGAGGGACTCCGGTGGTGGATGTGGACACTCCCGTGCGAGCCCAGCCCTCTCAAACTTGGACATCGATGGGGTGCTGGCTGGGGGGTGCTTGGAACACCGTATGGCAGACTACGAAGAATAAGGTGAACATGACGGAGATGGCAACGACACCTCTACCGCGATGGGATAGTCGACGAGACGAGGGGCGAGAAGATGGGCAGAAATCGCGGGGAGAGGGTTCGTGAGTGCATGGTGTCTAAGCATGTTGGTTTAAGGCACAAGGTTATCCGAAAGGTAATGTAAGGTAGGGTCGCATCGTCTTAGTGTTAGATTCGGAGAAATAGAATCGGCCGCGGCAGATTGACACATGCCAGATCCTCTCGGTCCCTTGCTACCCTCCGAATCTCCAAGGCTGCAAGGTTATCTGACAGACTCAGCTCCTGTGAGCCGCATCTTTGTTTTCATGTTTCTTTCGATGGGTTGCCACTTTCGATACGGACTCGGTGTGTACTGTATTGATGTGCTTGGGTCGACCAGGATAATGTCATCAGGAGAAGGCTTCATGTTAATGGCCGAAACAATGGTCGAGTAAAGGCGAGGCTCGTCATGGCCCGATGATAGATAAGGAAAGCAGATGGAGAGATAACCTCAGATCACAATGTGGCAGTGCCTCTACCTTAGCCTCCGTACTCGGGTATGCACTGTCGTATCTCGAGGTACCTTGGTACCTGAGGTCATAAGTTTTTCAGGCAAGAAGAAGGAAGGGGTCCAAGGCAAGCACGGCAAGGTAAGTCTCCTGGTGTGCTGAGGTAATGACGCTGGTGCATAGGAGGTTCTGGCGAATCAGCCCACTACACGCAGCTAGCGGGCGACCGAGTCCGCCAGAAATGGCCCCCATGATTCGACGTCTTCGGATCCGACAGGGAACCACCTCGCCTGGCCGATGTTTTCCAGGGAAGGCCCCATCTCCCGAGGCAGGTGCCGTGCAGAGGTGGTGGCGGGCCGGGAAGCTTGCGTGGGGCGGCCTTCCACACTCTTGCCTTTTCTGACCACACGACTTACCTTAAGGTACCTTACGGTCCAGTGCAGGGGAACAAACTTACCTTGCTGTGGTGAGGAAGGAGTGGGCTCCGGCTCTTTCATAGACCGGCGGCGTGGTTGACGTCAGACGAAAAGAAGCGGCGATTCTGCGGCTACTCGTCTCCCGCCGGCTCAGCTTACCACGCTTACCTTAAGGCTTACCTTACCGTAATTGCCTTGAACCCTTATGTGATTCAATTCAACAGAACACACCAGTGTGAAATGCGGAAAGGTAATTCGAAGGAGAGGATAGTGAAAACAATACCCTTACCTTGTCTCTTAGTTCCATCCGTCTACCTACCTATTCCCTCTATCCATTATCTCGTCTCCTATCTTACACTCCGATACTCGACCCATCCTTGCTCGCATGACACTGCCATCCCATCCTCCTTCTACGACCTGCTACCTATTTGAGATCTCAGTTTGGTTTCCAAAGGGGCGAAACACATCTTGACTTGCCATGTTCTGTGGACGACAGAAGCACGCACTCTCTCACACCCACTCGCCGCATCCATAATTATCATCCAACTCACCCACACACGCCACACGTCGCATAATTTCAGCCCATCGCATTGCTGCTGCTCCGGGGCCTTTGCCTTTGAATACTCGTCTCTATCTACCTTGCCCCGATTCAAACCGGCTGCGGGCTCCTGAACCATCCCGTTCTGCCCACTCGCGACAACCGTACTCGGGTTCGCTTTGCAAACGACGACATATGACGACCTGGTCCAAGCACGCCGAAATTCACGAGGGCATTGGAGCAAATCCAGTGGCAGACTGTCAAACATCTGAACCATATCAATTATTCTCAAGAGGCTTCAAGTGTTTACTTCTTCCATCCTCCTTAACCAGACAACCCTGGCCGTGGCTAAGCAAACGCCTCCGTCACCTTTCCGGACTCGGAGATTCAGCCGCGTCTCGTTTACCTCGTGTAATGTGCGAGTCAGAAATACACTCAGCTAGCCGCAGTTAATGGCGGTTTTATTTATACAACACTACATTCTCCCTTCTTCCAACGTCTCTTGGCTCACCATTACCGACCACCACTGAACATTCGAAAGGTCTATCTCGTGAGGCAACACATTACCAACTGCAGTCCAAGGACGGCATCCAGACCGAGAACAATATGGCAGCCGACATTAGCACGACGCTGGGTATCCCAGGCCTCACCGCACCAATATTGGCAAACGCCACAAAGCCCAACCTCGCCAACATCAGCGCTCCCTTGCTTGCCACCATAGTTCGCGATAGCTATCGTGCTACCTTCAAAGCTCGCGTCGCCGCCGGTGAAGCAAGACCTTTTGTACTGCCTTACGGCATATTTGCCAGCTTCATCCTCCCCATCCTCTACTTAACCTTTCCGCACACAAACCGGCCATGGCTATACAAGGCACGATGGCTCGTGCTAGCCTTCATCGTCATCTTCAATATCGACATCTTGTTGGGCACCTCCAGCACCAATATGTCCATGTCTTATTCTAGTGGTCTGTCAGCCTTTTGGGGAATCTTGTCCAACTTCATCATGCTAGTATTCACGGCACCACAATTCGACTACGAGAGAGTTGTTCGAAGGAGGAAGGCCACCACTACCCCCAGCAGATCTAAGTCGTCTGCGGATCGCGCAGCTCCAGCAAATGGATTCGGACTCAGGAGGCGAGCTGGCAGCAAGAAGCGAAAAGCAGACCGCGTCACAGCCCCTGAAGTTAACCTCGAAGAGTACGAGTACTACTGGCAGACTTTCCCAGAGAAGGGATCTTTCTCAGAGCGACTTGGCTGGGTCATTGACCTCTATACCAATTTCAGGGGAGTCGGTAAGCAAGCTTGCTCCCCATGCTATAGCGAACCTTGTACTAACATATTCCAGGTTGGACTTGGGCTGTTTCATCGGTTCCCAGCCCAGTTCCCCCAGAGAACCCTGGCATGGGTGAACTCGTCAAGATGGATACCATACCGTTGGAAACATTCGTGGGATGTCAGACCTATAAAGACGAGAAAGAATTCTTGCGACGGAAAGTCATCCCCATCGCAATCTCGTATTTGATCCTCGATATCTCCAAGGTTGCCATCATGGAGGATCCATACTTCTTCCTCGGACCCGAGTCGTTACCCCTTCCTGCTCATCTGGCGGCTCTCCCACCATGGGCTCTATCCATATGGCGGCATGCTGCCGTACTCGGTATTCTCTACGCCGCACTCGTCATGGTCTTCTCCGTTCATGACCTGTTCCAGTATTACATCCTCAGCAAAGTGTTCCCCCTGCGGGGTGAGCTGTGGCAGTACTCGACAGTATTCGGCTCCTTCACACAGATTCTGGACAGAGGCTTGGCTGGGTTTTGGGGGGCTTGGTGGCACCAGACCTTCCGACATGCCTTCTCTGCGCCAGTCAGCTGGGCTGTAAAACGTGGTTATCTCGAAAAGGGGACGCGCAGCACAAAAGCAATCGGCATGTCTACTGCATTTCTTCTTTCCGGCTTGCTTCACGGTGCCGGAAGCGTCAGCGCGATCCCCGAGACCAAGTGGTGGAAGCCAGCGCTTTTCTTTTGGTTGTCGGGGTTGGGCGTCCTCACTCAGCAGACGTTCTGCACCGCCATGAAGTCCCAGATTACAAAGATGTCTCGCACGCTGAGGAGAGCAGGGAACCTCTTATTCGTGCTCGTGTGGCTGCACATCACAGTTCAGCCGTTAGCCGACGACTTTGCCCAAACTGGCCTCTGGCTCATGGAGCCCGTTCCCGTGTCGGTCGTGCGTGCCCTCGGTTTTGGACGCGGAGAGACATCGTGGTGGAAGCCTGATATGGAAGCGATTGGACACTGGCATGTTGGACAGCATTGGTGGGATTCTGGGTTCAGTTATTAGAGCATCGGCGCAAGCCTCATCTCATGTTACCTATGATGCGACGAAGTAATGTTGCTAGCTTCTTTGGGGTATAAACTTCAACAGAGATATTCCTTTTCTTTCGCCCGTTGCTGTCCCTCCGATTCGGGATCGCCATTCACTTTGCCGTGACCTGCCCCTCTGTCTTTCTGATACTCTGCAGGATCATTTCCTGCGCGGAGCTTCTCAAGTCCATTCTCCTCCACCGATGTGAGTCTTCGCGGGATACTGCATTCCTAGTGGTCATCATCCTAGTTTTGTGTTAATGGGCCTTGCACATCGATCGGTAAGATAGGTGATATGAGAGTACATACCAACTTGACTACAATGTGACCGTGAGGAAAGACCTGATTCAGGTATTTCTCGACGACGGGCTTTCCGAGGCCGCATATAGGGGTTTTGTGACCGTACTGTACCCTCGAGAGGAAGAAGCTGCGTACGGAGTTGCTCATCTTCTGTTTTCGAGCGTCTGCGTCTGATTTCTCTTTCCTTGAGTGAGCACTCGTGAAGATGTCAGGGGTTTGGTGTCGCTCGATACGAGGATGGGAGCTGATTCGAATTTCATGAAGGTGCCCACGGTAGGTAGGCAGTAGGTAAACAAATAGACTGGTTCGTACCTTCCCGCACATTGTCACAAGAGATCCTGAGGCTGGGGTATCTACCCCTCCCCCATCCCGATTCCATCACCACAACCAGCAGGCGCCCGTCTAGGCCGACGGGTCAGGTCAAACTGGGATGGGTGGGGGAGTGGTATATGGTCAACAATAAAACCCAGAATGAGCACCAAGAGATGTAGCCTCAGTTCAATACCGGGAGGTTAGGGGAGGGGGGGGTGAACTCTTTTTTTTAGGTAGCTTCGTAAATTACCATCGCATAGTTGGATGGTTTTTTGCTGGTTAGTATGAGGGCTTCCTGAATTCTTCCCTCATATCGTGTGACTGCGGTGGCCATGTGAAAACTCACCTTGACACCGGGAGAAGGGATACATGAGCCTATATCTGGTATCTCGCTTGGAAAGATTAGCTTAGAGCCACCGCAGTTTTGGTCCTACTCCTTTGCCTTGCCTGTGCCTTGCCATTCTGAATCACTCGTACCATGCATGCTTCATCCAGCCCGGCATAATCACATCACTCGAGCGAGACCAATCATTATGATGAATACTGGTATGCTTGGATACTGCATACTACTAGAAGCCTGATTACCTGGCTTAATCAATACCATGAGCCCTCCTAGGCAGAACGATGAGAGGGGAAGGGGGTATCTGAGCCGAAGGAGAAAAAGCCATCTCTAACCCTAGTCTGTCCTGAACCTACGCCCTTTTCAACGCCAGTCTGACCAAATGCAATAACAGAGATGGGGGTATCTCGCAAACCCAAAGCCAGTCCCAAACCAATCCAGACCATTCCTCAGCCAACCAATGCTGAAGAATCCAAATCCATGACGGGAAAGAAAGGATTATAACAAAGGGACGTGAAGCCAAGAGAAAAAACGCAATGCTCAAACTAAAACAAAACGACGCGGAAACCCAATGCCGATACTAAAACCCGAGCCGGTGTACCAAAGTCGCTATTCGAAGGAAATGCAGCCTTTCCATGTCGTAACACTAGTAAGAGCGAGAATCCTCAGTGCCAGGTGGTGTAGGTCGTGTGCGTATTAACTGCCGTGGCCGCCAGCCGACATGAACATCAGAGTGTTGGCACCCACCACATCCTCGCCATTGATGGGGAAGGTGAGGCTAGGCTGAACGGCAGACTGAACTTGCTGTTCGAATATTAGCAAGTCAACCTCTGAGGTCTTCAGAGAGTTTGCGCGACTTACATTTATCTGGACAATGTCAGGAACGAACGCAGCGGTGGATTGGATATCTTGATCAGTTGCGTCCATCCAGTTTCTCGTCAGGGGACATTGTCCCAAGTTCATGTTGACTATGATGGTGTTGGTATAGCCGCGAAGGAGCTGAAACGCGGCCAGCTCTCCGTTTCTGCGCTTCATCAGGGTCAAGACGATGTTGGCCACCCAAGCTTTGTGAACGACCTCGCGGAGGATGCTATCATACCGCTGGGCTGCGGAGACACCGCCGTTGCGGACGTGAAGCTTGACCTTGTGTTGAATCGCATCCATGATATCGACCATGCTGGCGGTGACGAGGCGGCGGCTGGCTTCACGCTCTTCGGGGGTGACGTTCGGGGCAATGCGCTGGGGTGGGAAGATGTGCTGCTGCAGCAGAACCTGGATCTGTGACTGGGTTGGGAACGGGTTGCCAATCTGCATCTCCTTCTGGGCCTGAACCAGGGTAGAGGACTGAGCCTGGGCAGAGAGCTGAGCTTGGGCGGAGGACTGAAACTGGGTGGATGACTGAGCCTGAGAGGACTGAGCCTGGGAAGCCTGAACCTCCTGAGAGGGTTGCAAATTATCAGGAGCTTCGCCGTTCTCAGAAGCCTTAGCCTTCTGAGGAGTCGCGATCTTCCTGAGAGTATCGGTGGTGCCAGCAGACATGGAGCTCATTCCGGCAGTGAGGGAGTCCATCTTGCTCGTGTTCTGACGCTTCGCGGCCGGGGCCTTCTCAGCAGCAGTTGCCGCACGCTTGTTTTCGGTCACAAGGCTGGCGGAGGCATGACTTTGGACGGCTTGAGTCTGCTGGGCGGGAGAGGGAGAGGGAGAGGCCTTGGCCTTGTGAGTGGCACCAGGGTGAAGCTGCGGCAGACCGCGGTGACGGTAGCCCTCGCCGTACTGAGGAGCATGGAGGTACGCGCCTCCGCCTTGAACTTGTCCCTGCTGGGCGTAGCCATGGTCCTGGGAATATCTTGTGAGTGGAAGAACTCAGTGAGGAAGAGGGTGCTGTTGTTACCTGGGCAGGGATGTTGGCCTGCTCGACAGCCGAGTCGCCGTAGGCGAGGCGCGAGGTCTTTCCTTTGGAGGCATGGGACTTCTCGGCCTCGGGGATCTCGGACATCTTCACCTGGTCCTGGGCATCGAGCTCCTCCTTCACGCTGCCGCTGCGCATCTTCTCGTAAGTGTTGATGGCAGCGGCGCGGACGGGACGGGACTGCGCCAGTCCGACAGGAGCGACGCCCCTGCCCGCGGTGGCGACGGCGGCGCTGGGGGCTGAACCCTTGCCGCCGACCTCCGCAGGCGGGACGTACTCCTTGTCGGAAAGAGCGCTCATGTCGTTGTCGTCGTCGTCGTCGTCGAAAACGGAGTAGGAGTCGGAATTGTAGTACGTCTTCTTGGCCTTCTTCTTCTTGCTGGCCTTATTCTTCTTCGAATGCTTGGCCTGCGTGGAAGGGCGAAGCTGGGAAGTGCCGGAGGAACTCTTGACCTTTGTTGGCGTAGATAGAGCAAGGGACGAATTCTGGTTGGAGGTGAGGGTGGTCTGTAGAAAACGGAAGGAGGGGAAATCATCAGCTTTTGGGTGAAGTGAGAGAGGGGTGTGGGTGGGTGGAAATCGGCGTACCTGGGTCATTCGGCTTGCAGAGTCCTTGCCGAAAGCCTTCCCGCCCTTCTTCGAAGAGCTTTTCGAAGCAGATGACTTGCCCTTGGTCGCCGAGGCAGAAGGAGTGTTGGCCTGACGGCCCGGGACGGCGGTGGCCATGGATGGCTGACCACGAGCGCCCGAGCCGGGCTGGCTCAAGTGCTTTACCCAGTCGAAATCGCCAACCTCGTGAGGGACGTGAGAGTCGAGGTTCGAGATCTCGCCTTTCGCAACGCAGTCGCGGCAGACGGTGATGTAGCAATCGTTGCACATCTGATGAACGGTCTGGGCGCCGGTAAGCTTCTGGCAACATTCGCAGGCAATTCCGGGGAGTTGAGTCTGTTCCCAGCTGTCGTGGGGATCTTGCCAGAACACGTCATCGTCACCATCCTTTCGGCCACCCTTGGACAAGATAGGAGCGTTGAACCGAGACATGACAATGATGCTGGTGATGTCGAAATGCTAGCCGTGATGGGCAAGGGGCGAGCTCGTCGAGTTGCTGGTGCAGCAAATATTGCGGGTTGAGCTACGAGAAAGAGCTGAAGGTGTCGAGGGAAGAAACGAAAACTCGAGCTGTCGAGGAAAGAAAGAGAGCCAAAACAAGAGAAGGTGAGAAGAAGAGGAAACAAAAGTCCTGAGCTCTCATCCTTCTTGGAAAACCTCATTATCATAAGAGCGGGTACAACAAGTTGTGAGTTCCCGCCTCATGAGGAAGCCTTAATCTCAGTGAGAGCGAGAGCAGCGAGAACAGTCGAGAAGCAGTGGGCTCCCCGTTCTTGAGAGGAGTCTTCAACATCAACGACGCGGATGAGATGGAGCGAGCCCCCGTCGGATGAGAAAACCCTCATCGCAAGAAGCACTCGTCACACGAACGATGGTTACAGGAAACCATAGAAGCTCTCGCTTTTCAGTAAGGCTATCAATTTGAAATGGGCGAGTGTAGGGGAAAAGGGGGAAGCACCATCAGCTCACAGAAACTCTTAATGTGACAAAGGGACCAGTTATCAATTCACAGACTTTCGATATCGAGAAGGCGAGTACGTGAAAGGGGGTCACCATAGATAAGCCACAATTGTAAAGACGGCGAATAGACATGGACGACATGATCAAGAGTAAGAGGCAAGATCCGTACTATGGCAGATACTCTGATCAAGTCAATGGCATGTTGCAAGGAGTCAACGCACTCCTTGTGCGAAACTGATCACGTCAAAGAGTCGGAGTGGTATGGACACAATGACCTCTTGCCTTGCACCACTTGCTTTTCATGAGCAAGAAACTTTGGTATAAAGCACTTGGTATACCTTACATCTAAGGCTGGTGGGCTCTCGTCTCATGTGTAAGCTCTGATGACAACTATGTCAGATAAATAGCAGAAGATGAGATTGATGTTTAGTGGTGGGGAGGCCGAGTCCACATGATCTCCGTGTGCGTTTGATAATTAGATGATAGGGAGACTGTCCATATCATGAGAAATAATATTATGTTGGCCCCGAAAAAGAATCCGAGCCAAGGTGATTATGATACTACTGGAGATGAAATGATACTTCCGATAAGTACGTACTGAGTTCGAGGCACGTTTGACTACTAAGATGAGTTCTGGATGCAAAAGCAGGTGGGCAAGGCTTAGTACTTGAAGCTTCGCCGAGCATCCAGTGTAGCTGCTCTTTGTGTAGCTTTATCAAAGAGCAGTCATCTCTCCATACGAAGATGGGATTGAACGAGACGAATGTTGTTCTTGAATAGAGATTGCGGACTTTGAAGAGAAATACGGTCTGGTACGAAGGGCGTATTGCCTTCCCAAAGGTTGCACAAGCAATGTTGGGTACAGTCCGACATAAGCGACATAAATTGACCTCGTCATATCTAACACGGTGAAGAGGAGACGACAACACTAGGTCTCAAAAAGTTGTGAGACTTGTCATGTAAACCATAGTCAAAAAGGTCAGTGGCGACGGCAATTTCTAGCCATGATCGTTTGATACAGATGAGAACGCCAAGAGTTTGACTTGTTGGAGTTGAAAACCGAGCGATTAGAGTAGCCAGATACCACTTGGTACACACTTCGAATAGCGAAGAAGTCGTATTATTGGAAAAATCCACTGCAATTGAAGAAGACGAAAAAGGACTGGATGGACGGCCTACAAGAATTCGACTGAGCGTGAGGCTAGGTAACGAGCACAAAGATAAATGTTTTATCATTGGTAGCCTCCGCATGTCTATCCGAAGTCTTCTCGACGGCGAAGAACAGGTGCCGCTCTGCCCGGGGAAATCTGTAGTCTAGCAAAGTAGTCATCGTTTTGTGCGACCAGAGACAGTGCTGACCACTACGTAGTACGATCAAGTAGACTTGCATTATATCCAGCGCTGCGACACTCGTCCAGAACAGGCTTGGCCCCAACGGCTTCGAAGAACAACTTGAACCGGGTAGTTAGTAAGGAAACGAACCGTTGAAAGGGATAGTGTCTCATGCGGAAAGGATATAGTTGAAGTCAAATGCCTAGCTAGCACGCTTCCTCTGTCTGTACCTTGAGAGGGGCAGAAAATGCTGGGTTTTCGTATATCATTGCTTGCGCACAAAAACCCATCAAAACATGTCCCACGACTGTAGTCACTGAGGCTAAGGCTAAGGTACATGGCGAACTGACGATCACTTGATTGAAAGCCCGGCGAGAACATGTATGCGCATTGCGTTAATATCACAGGCCTGCAACTGAAAAATATGTAGTCAAGAATTTGTCAACTCAAGCCACCAGAAAAGTCGGCATTTGTGAGTATTAAATAGACAGATCGCTTACACCCGCGGTCAAAGCTTTTTGCAGCGCGGGGCACAGCGGGCGGGAGGGACATATCCGATCATGGACAGGTGCTGGTGGATAGCCTGGAGTTCGATGCGTGTCCCTCCCGCCCGCGTGCTCCCGATCGTTGCCAGGACGACTTTTGCACTCGACTTTTGCGCAACGAAAGAGATTGGCTGGGCGCATAGGGTGGACGACTGTTACCATAGTGACACTTGATGGATAGGACGATGGGGGTCTTCGGGAGAGGACGGGAGAAACGGGTAGGGTCCACGAGAGGGCAGAATTTGCGCACAACATGGACGGGACGAACGGGGCATTTGTCATGCCCACCTCTCTCTGTCCAAGTGTCCAGTCCTAGAAGGTGACTCCGCAGGAGGCCGGGCCCAGAAGCCTTTTCTCGAAACAGGATGGTGGACTCCTTTCTCACGAATCGGACGTGGACCACGTTTCGAAGTACGGATACACGATTCTGTCTGTCTGTGGGAGTTGAAGAAAAAGTCGACGAGTGACGTTGGATGAGGCGGGTACGTACCTAGCAGGGATCCACCGGAAGAGAACTGGCGCACTGTGTCGGGTGAAACGGTTTGAGAACATTCGGCCAATGGCGAGGGCCATGCCCCGTAGAGAGCTCGCTGATTCGTCAATGGGAGCTGCAATCAATTAAACGCGACCCCGCTGATGGAGACGTGTCAGACGCGTCAAACGCGTGCGGCTCGCGACGACGCGCCGACCGCATTGCAAAGTTTCGCAACGGGCACCGCCCACCTCTCTTTCGACTCTGAACGAGGACATTTTGTGCTTTCTTCCAAAGTCGTTTGTGGCGCAATGCCCTGCTGGCTGAGTCACGGCGGCAATCGCGGGATTTCTTTTCCTTTTCTCGGTGTAGTCGTTCTCCTTCACCGCTCACCTGCCGCGCTCACCTTTATGCAAGTGTTGAAGCCGGCTGAAGCTAGATTCGATGGTTCGGTCAATCTTTGACGATTCTGAATTTGGCGTTGCCCATGTACTTGGGCTAGAGAAAGCCATCGATTGACCTTTTTCTGGGACTTCCGATTTCGCTTTTCGACAGTCGTTGAGAGCGAGTGGGAGACTGAGAGAGTGCCCTTGTCGCAATCGCGAAAGTTGGAAGAGGCGGGGCTTGATAGAGCGGGTTTACCCACGTTTCTGATGCAAGCCATTAAAGACAGCCCCTCTTTGTGTCCAGGGCGCCTGGCATGCGGAGCTCGACAGCATGTCGAACCCATGTGGTGGTGCGCCGCTCATCGTCACAACGTGAGATTGAAAGCCACCACCACTAAGAATACTACCACCACACCGCCATCTCACGCGCTCATGAAATACCCCGTGGCTACCCTGAGGATGGTCTCGCATCACAAAGATGGGGGTCATGAGATCGTTTGACGGTGACATGAGAGGCGGGCGTTTCGGAAGCAGTGAACCGACTTTCATGGCCCAGATCACTTTCGAGTTATGCGTTATCTTGTCCACACCTTACATGGGAGGCTTCGGGCACAGTATGTGTGACTGAGTATTTCGTCGTCTAGCAGGTACTCTGTACAGAAAACCATACGACGCAGAACAAGCTTCAGGAGGAATCCGGTAGGCCTCTGAAAATTTGATTACGGTCTTCGAAGCCGGAAGAAGGTGGTATCCGGAATTAGAGAGATATGATGTGGTTGGGGTCCGATCGGAACATGTGGCCAAAGACGACGAGTATGGCTCCCATGGATCGCTCGAATCGAGACCTGGAGAATGTGACGACAGCTGGAGGGAGCACAGACGGAAGCCGCTGAAGCCCTAAGCCCATTTTCTTTGTGAATTCCTGACACCTCAACAGTCTCTTAATGGAAGTGTTAGACGGTGATTGCTAATTGGTAAGTGGCACGGCATGAGCAGCACGTTTTCCCTCCGCAGCCTAGCTAGGGGAGTACAAGCGCTTTCACCTTCGGATACTCTCGATGGTAATCATATAAAGTCATTTGCTCATCTTCGATATAAATTTTGAAGCAGTCGCAGCAAAGTAAGACAGACGTGAGGGCGGATGGAGTCTCGATTGACAGTAGGCAATCTTGCAGGGCCGAATTGATTGCAAGTCTGTCGGTGTTAGAAACAATAGGCGCCTCGAAAGTCGAAGAGTGTGGGAGCCCTGACTCGAGCTAGGCTCTACAGAGACTGCTATGTTGGTCGGCCGTCCGTGTGTCCTATTGTGTGGGAGTTTGACAGAAGGGAGGGCGCGAGCCGCGGCTCCTTAGCGATAAAGTCTGAGCGAACGCAGTAAGCCCAAAGGGGAAGAGTAGATTTTCTCTACATTCTTACGCCTCCCAATAGAACGGGGAGCCTTAGCTGAGGTAGATGGGTGTCATGAGCGAGGTAAGGCAGAGGAGGCAAATCCCGTGGGAGAGGATGTCTCGCATGTCTTGCAGGTTTGCTCTCGGCCGGAGAAGCCCAGGGAGATGGATGCTGTCTGATCGTTAATGGACTCAAAGGTTGTTAATTGGGCAAAGGAGGGGATGGGGGCGAGATGAAGCAGAGACAATAAAGATGAATGGTCTTGTGCCTTAGTCTTGCGATCACCTTGCATGAACCGGAGGAGAGACACTTCGAAGTAGAGACGGAGAAGGGGGTAAGATTGACGAG